TCAGGGGAATCAGTCAATGGATAACGAACTTGATTAACTTGACTTCCCGTATAGTAAATATCGAGGCGCTTGGGCGGAACGCGAACACGATCACCCTTACGAAGAGGAGCTGCCGGCGAGGTAGCTGGAGGAACCGGGGCGGCAACAGCTGGAGGTGACGGTGCTGGCGATGCCGAGTCTGTGTCTGAAGAGTGAAGGTCAGAGGAGCCTATAGGGTGGGAGGAGGGAGTAGCCTCCTGCGTCGGAGAAGGAACACTCAACACAGGAGTGGAGGACGCCGAGGTCAGAGGAAGAGAATGAGTGGGAGGAGATGCTGCAACCAACTCATCATCATCATCAAAAGCAGGGCGATCAAACACCTGTGGGGGTACCCAAGGAAACTCAACAGACGGGTTATCTTGGAAAGGAAAACGTGATTCATGAAAGACCACGTCGCGGCTGGCAAAGAGCTTCCGCGTTTCAAGATCATAAACCCGGTACGCCTTTTGGTTGGAGGCATAACCGAGAAATAAACAGGCACGACCTCGTGCATCGAACTTCCCCAACCCACCATGGGTATCTTTGCAGTAAACCAAGCACCCAAAAACACGTAAATGGGAATAAGAAGCAGGCTTACCAAACAAAGTGTAGTAAGGAGTAGCTCCGGTGGCCTTTGTAGGAAGGCGATTAATCAAATAAGCCGCTGTCAAGACGCACTCACCCCAAAAACGGACCGGGAGAGAGGCTTGAAATCGGAGGGCACGAGCAGTATCGAGGAGGTGACGATGCTTCCGCTCAACAACCCCATTCTGCTGCGGGGTATCGGTGCAAGAGGTTTGAAGTAAGATACCCTCTCGCTCATAGTAGGCACGAAGAATATCAGTTTGAAATTCATGACCATTGTCAGCTTGAATTCTCTTAACCTGCTTTCCAAACTGAGTACGAGCTAGTTGACAGAACATCTGTAAATAGTGACCCACTTCCGATTTAAATCGCAAAAGATAGACCCACACAGCATGACTAAAATCATCCACTATAGTCAAAAAATAGTGGGCACCACTGAGCGATGCCATCTTATAACCTCCCCAAATGTCTACATGCAAGAGTTCAAAACAAGACGATGTCTTAATAGAGCTAACTGGAAAAGGAGTGCGAACTTGTTTAGCTCTAGGACAAGAATGACAAAAATCCGAAGAGTCCTGTGAATGCATGGAAATAAAGCGCTTGAGCTGCACCATCTTCGCCGGAGAAGGGTGCCCGAGCCGCGCATGCCACGTGCCCTCGGAGACTGAACCGCCACCAGTAACAACATTGACCTGCATACGGCGACACCCAAAAAGACAAAGATAATAGAGGCCATCACGGATCTCCCCTTTCCCAATCACTGTCCTGGAGCGTAAGTCCTGAATGATGCAAAAATCACGGAGGAAGATCAACGAGACATCATTCTCTTTACATAACCGACTGGCAGATAGCAAGTTGCAGCTAAATTCAGGAACATGAAGAACCCGACCAAGTTTCAAAGTAGGGTCAAGAGAAATGGAACCAATGCGCTTCACAGGGATGCTCGCACCATTAGGAATGCGAACGGGTTGATTAGGATAGGCCACGGAGGGACCAACGAACATAGAATCACTCACTGTAATGTGCTCATTACAGCCAGAATCAATGATCCATTCTGAGGTCGAGAAAGAAGAAAACATACCAGCCATATGGGAAGCTGGGTCGGCCACCCCGACGGACGTCATGCCAAAGAACTGCCGCAATTGCTCTAATTGCTGAAGAGAAAACCCCGCAACAGGACTAGCATCCGTCTCAACCTGGGCAGCACGAGGCTCACGAGAGCGAGCTGAACGGGAGTCATCACGTGAACCATCATCCTTGCGACGACGCTGTGATCGGTCTCGTTGCTTGTCACGAGAGGGATAACCGATCAACTCATAACAGGTCTCGCGAAGGTGCCCGGGTTTTTGACAGTGAGTACAACGGAGTGGTTCACGATCGCTGCGTTCCATACGATCACCGAGAGGACGAGGTGGACGATCAGATTCACGCTCACCACGGTCTCCTCGAGTACTGAAGGCAGCAGCCTCAGCGACTGGTTTACGTTGCTGAGTAATGGAACGTTGCTGCTCATCATTATGCACCATACGAAAGGCTTCAGATAACGAGGGTGTCGGCTGAATTGAGAGGATATGGCTGCGTACCGTAGCAAAGGTATCATCGAGCCCTAGAAGGAAGTCAAGAAGGCGCAAGCTTTCATATTGATCCTTACCGCGACGACCACAAGCACAAACCGGCGGAGCCAAAATAGCTTGCGTTTCCTCCCAACTCTTCCGAAGTTTAGTATAAAAATTGGAGACCGTTTTCTTCTCTTGCTGCAGCAAGATGACATGCCGACACAGCTCATAAACTCGAGTAAGATTGCCTGCACTAAAACGATCGCGGAGATCGTCCCAGATCTCTTGAGCGGTCTTCGCGTGCATAACACTGGTACGGACCTCAGCGTCCATTGCTGTGTGTAGCCACTCTTTAACAAGGGCATCACAGCGTAGCTATTGAGAAACCTCGGGAGAGCCAGCGGCAGGACGCGGAATACTCCCATCGACAAAACCAACTTTATGCTTTGTAACCAAAGCATCGGTCATCTCCAAAACCCATTCGCCATAATTCGAAGGTGTGAGGAGACTACTTACATGAAGATGGCCCGCACTGTCGGACTGGTGAATGAATAACGGATTAGAGGGATCAAAACTCAAACCTCCAAAACTACCAGAGTCGCTGGATTTAGACTGCGGCGATTTCTCAGAAAAGGAGGAAATATCATCTCCTGCCATGATCGATATTGAAGATCGAGATAACCAGGCTCTGATACCATGAGAAATCTATAAAAGTAAGAGCAGAAACGAACAAGACGCGATTTACGTGGTATCCCCGATTGCCGGGACTAGTCCACGGGAGAGTAATCACTCTCCAGTTTAGGTTTTATTATTCTGGTTCTTATGGTGGCCGATGGCCATTACAAGCATTTATATACCCTTTACACCAATTCCCTAGGGTAATACAGCCAACACACGTACAAGGGCTAGCTACATGGCCTGCATGGAGACGTGTGGAGGGCTGGGCCTCGGCCTGGTTATCACGGCCCAATATTTACCTTACAAGCATGAGTTTTGTTGACTTTTGTGTTTTCCTGGTGACTCAAATTCTTCCATCGATACACATATAATAAAACATCAGCCATCTTAAGTTCATCTCAGGTCACTCAACATTACACCTTCAATCTCTCCGCCACTCGAAGGATAGTAGGGAAAGTGGAGGAATCCATAGATGGTCTTGCTGGATATCCAGGATTTGCAATGGATCTCAGTGTGAAGTTTTGGAAGATCCAGAGTTTCTCAAGCTGTGCATTGATGTGGGCAAGACATATGCGACACTACATGATCAACCAAGTCGTAGTTCTCATGAGCATGAAATTCTGGCCTATGTTTCTCATATAGTTAGTACCAAAGATTTAGTTAAATTCATCCACCATGCTCTGGGGAAAGTTCGGGTTGACATTTTTGAATGTCAAGTGTAACTCAACTTTATTTTGTTAGACGGTCTATTTATTAATGAAACTATCATCAATTTATTAGAATAAACATAATCGTTATTGGTTATTTTCGCTTGTTCGAACAACTTCGCTCAATTTAAATTCATAAGAGTTTGTCGACGAAACTATAGAACCAAAAAAGAGGAACATCTGAACATGAAATGGGCTCAGCTCTTTATTTGCATCTACTAGTTGCTTTGCTTTACTTTGCTTGCAATAGTCCCACAAAGTTGCTTCCTTTTTGCTTTTTAGCACTCTTCAGGCCATCTTTTAGTGCCTCCTTTTCCCAGTTGAATTGGCCTTTTAGACTCCCCTCTCTCAAATGTACTTCACAAGAATGAGTCATTGGCTCATTGCCCTTTGAACATGGTGATTGCCCACTTCCAGTCAGGAATTTGGTAACAGGACATGACCACTATACAACACTAAAAAGTAACACAAAACAAATTTGTCAAAAAAAGGGGACTGTAATTGCAATTCTCCAAGTGAGTAATTTAATATGTAAATCAAAATGGTTACATGTTGGAAAAGGACAAAGCCTTTGTTGGATAAGGAGGGCTTGGCTGGAAGCCTGAAGACATATTGGAGGGTTTGACTCTCTTGGAAGCAAAATTTTTTTTTTGTTGGTGTTTTTGACTGAATCCCAATCTTGAACTAGTGTATTAAAAAATAGCAACAACTGAGATTCTCCATTGCTTCATTGGCCAACCCCAATTTTCAAACCCACCCTCTTAAAATATCGTTAGCTTCCTGATCCACACCCACATGCACTCTCACCTTCCCATAACCAAAAAAAGAAAAATGGTTCCCAAGATTAGGTATTTGTTGTTTCAAATGTTAAGAAAAACATCTCTTTCATTAGTTGTACTAGTACATGGTATTATTATACTTTCAGTTGTTGGATGTAGGTTATATGTCCAACTATCAAGGATTTTGACCTTTTCGAACGGTACAACACGGAAGTTGCTATAGTATTATCAAATTAAAGATGAGACGAATACGAATGAGAGAATGTAGCAATAAGCAGAAGTAAAAGGGTTGAATAGAAGAACTTCCAAACACTTTATGGATCCCACATGCATTGATACTAACGAATAACGATGGCTTATAATTTTAGTGAATTATTTGTTCGGACATAATTCAACCATCAGTTCGTTCATCGATAAATTTTTGTGAACTAAAAAGTATCAAACCCTAAGAAAACAAGAGAGAAATTACAAAAAACACAATTCAATAGGTCGGTTTGGTATTGTTTCGGGCTTCATAAATCCAAATCACTCCACAATCACCTCGATTTTACATTTCACCACCCTGATGTCTCATTCATCCCTAAAATTCTATTTAGTTTGATAAATATGGACATACTAAATCAAGTGACAGAAACGAAACGAGCATGATTTTCGAGTTAGTTTCATTCACTCCTATTCAAAAAAATGATAAAGACACCACTCGATTTCATTCCCATCATTTACTAAAAAAAAAAAAATATTATACACAATACCAGCCTGTTACATATAGAAAAGAAGACCTCAACCCTGAAGATACAAATAAAAAAGTAAAAAACCCAAGTAAACCCAAGCCAAATCTATATTATTATCAAGCCCAAAATCATAAAAAAAGAAGAAGATAATTTACTAATAACAAAACCCAAAAAAAGAAAAAAAACCCCATGATCATACTTTTGTGAATTAATTAAGGGCACCTGATATTCCTCCCAGGACCTCCATAGTAAAAATACGTGCCCCAAACCGTGTTCCTGCCTTGCCTCACGTCGTAACAATTAGGGTGGTCGGCCTGCAAATGCATGCTATTGAGAGGCAGCAAGTTGTTGTCCCAATCCACCGTCTGCAGGTTCCTGAAATACGACGACTTCCCGAACCCTTCTCCGGCGAAATGGCCGCTCCCCATCTGCGTGTAAGTGTGGGCGCCGGTGGACCTCGAGTTGACAATCTCGCCGCCGAACTGCACCATGCTGGCGTGGCTCCTGAGGTGGCTGAACAGGAACGCCGGCCAGTAACCCACCAGGAGACCCGACCCGAACTCCAGCCACCAGTGCCCGTGCTTCGGATCCTGCATTAATTAGTTTATTATTACGAGTTTTCAGTCTCATTGACATTGTTATTGGTAACTAATGCAAAGATCACAGTTGACCTAATAATGGATGGTTTCAACGACCGAAGTTTTGTTGGTGTAACTTACTTCTCTGTGCATCCTTTAATTATATCAACAAGTAGTTGTAGCATTTGGAAAATTTTCTTTGTTTGGTAGAACTAAGGAAAATGTTTAATCCGTTAATCCTTCTTTCTTCGTATTTGCTTCGATGTCTAAATTATATTTTAGTTGATCTAGTAGTAATACCTGTCTTGAATCTCAATATATCATATTTGAATCCTTCAGTAGCATCTAACTGTGAAAATCAACTTATTTCATTATTTTTTAAAAAAATGCATTTTCAGATTTTTTATGGAGTAATACCTTTGAGATTATATGTGTAAATAGGGGTGTCAGTTCGGGTCGGGTTCGGTTACCCAAACCGAAACCCGAAAAAACTCGAAACCGAAAAGCACTAAAACCGAACTCGAACCCGATAAGGACTTGCGGGTTCCGATTACCCGAAACCCGAAAAATTCCTTATCGGGTTCGGTTAAAGCAAAACCGAAACCTGAAAATCCGAACGCCTAAAAATACGGCCTGAGTTCTATTCATTGGAGGTTTTAGCTGGAACCCGAAAACCCGATAAGCAAAACCGAACCCAAAACCCAAAACGAACCCGAACCCGAAAAACCGAAAATGTATATAATCGGGTCGGTTTTGGGTAAACCCGAAAAACCGAACCCGAATGGACACCCCTATGTGTAATTCAAAATGTAGGTGTAAAAAAATACACTAGCAGTCCAAATAGAACCAAGTAAGCTCAATTAGAAAATTTTGCATGTAGCTGCAGTGAGTCAAATGTCAATGACTCTGCACTGAATAAGAAAAGGGAAGACTCCAGTTCCAGAGACTAGAGAGCCAGTTGGAGGTCACTAATTAGGTCAAAGCAATATATATTCAAATTAAACCCCAAAAAAACAAGAATTAAAAATAGACTTTGACACATAAAAAACAAGAGAATCTTCGCCTTTGTTTCTATTTCAATAATAATCACAGTAATTGGGGAACACAAAGAACAAAGGAAAGAAAGAAAAGAGGCTAGTTGTTGTTGCTTCATTTCATACCTTCCAGACCATTAGGCCAATATCGAACTGTCTTCCCCTGTAAGACGACCTGGGAGAAATTGCAGCTCCAATGGCTATCTTGTTGTTCGTCTGAACAAACCCAGAACACAGCAGGTTGTAGCATCCTGTTGCTTGATATGCATCCGTCTGTCCATTCGATTCGCGAATCCCAGTTAATCACAGTGTTCAATCATCCATTTGATTACCCCCAAAAAAATAAACAACAGATCTAAATAAGACTAACACTCACAGTCCAATAAGTGAAGAATCTCGGGTAGCTGTCCCCATACAACTCAGGGCTCACCTGCAAAAACCACCAAAAACAGAGCAATTTGCAACACACAAGTGAGCTTCTTCTTTTCCCCCTCCCCAATCAATCATCAAAGCGGATGCATGCAGTCATATCAACTTGCCTGCCAACCAGCTTCAATGGTGTTGAGATCATTTTCAAAAGAGCCAGAGATGACCCAAATTTGCGACAAGCTGAACTCGTAAGGATCAGTGACCTTTGGCGCCCACACGTTTAGTTTCGCCTTGGCTCCGTAGTACTGCTCTCCATTCACAAACACCACTGCGTGCTGCAGTAGTAGTAGTTACTAGTTAGTGCTGCCACCATTAAAATCAAAACCGAAAATGTAAAAGTGGGGGGGGGGGGGGGGGGGGGGGGGGGGGGTGAAAGATAGCATCTTTCTTTCTTTCTTCCCCTGATTGAATGAGTAAGCGATTGGTAATGGTAGTTACAAACCTCGTGGCCGTTTCCAGAAGAATCCCTCCTGAGATGTCTGATGGGCTTCTTTCCGAATCGCCTGAGCTTATTTGCTCTGAGAACGTCTTTCTCTGTGGTTCTTCGGATTGGAACGGTTCCTTCAGGGCAGGATCCCCCTGAATCGTGCCATTGCTGGAAGCTCTCTGCTATTATTTCCTCTGTTCCTGATGTCTCATTGCTCTTTGGCCGCTCTGGCGGGTCCTGGAGAGAGATGAATAGATAAATTACGCTCAAGAGTTTCGTCGAAAAGCAATGAAATGTGCATTTTTCTCAGGAAACAAACAGTGGGAGAGGAGAGGAGGAATTTGTGGATCAACCAACCAAGGGTTTGTGTCCTTTGAGCAGGGGATGATCAAATGCTGGTTGAAGGTGGGACAATACACAGTCAAACACATCACCGTCAGGGCTCTGCATCAATACCCAACCCCAAATTGCGTTTAGGAAAGTAAAATGAAGGAAAGGAAAAGGGAAAGGAGAGAAAGGGGAAAGGGAAAGAACCTGAATTGTCTTGACAGCAGGCTTGTTGATCTTCTTGAGATAAGCATTGACTCTCTTGAGCTTGAGCAGTTCTTTCCTTGGCAGGAAAGTCTGGGTGCTGTTGGCTGAGGAATCCGACGAGACAGGGGATGCGGAGTAACAGAGGGAGACAAGCAGGAAAGCAACAAAAATGTGGGATAGAGATTGAGAAAGAGTCAGGGTAGTAGCAGCAGAAGAAGAAGCAGCCATTTTTGAAGAATAATAATAATGTAGTTGCTTGTGTGTTGTTTGTATCGCTGGGGCTAATGTGGTAGGTTCCTGTTGCGAAGGAAGACGAAGGAGAAGGTGGGTTTTTTGTTGTCTTCTTCTCCATGGAAATATTGAGCCATCTTCTGCTTCAGCCAGCTTCTTCATCTCTCTTCTTGTTCATGTCGATCCAAAATTGGAGCACGCTCTCATCACCATTCGAGGAAAGACAAAACTCAATCTACAAGTTCAAGACTTCAATAACCCACCTCGAATAAGAAACTATAGAAACAACCAACCCAACCAGCTCTTCTTTTCTTTTTTAATTTGTTCAGTAGTTGGGCTGTTCTCCTCAAAACAGCTCCCTCTCTCTCCTCTGTTTTTCTTGTAGAATAGTCTGGGGTTATGTGTAACAGAGATTCTGGTGGTCTCTCTCCCTCTATCTCTCTCTTGGTTTTGAAATCTGACAGAGAGAGCACACACAGAAATGCACAAAAGAAAAAGGTTGGGGGAGATGGGGGAGCATTAAGAGGAGAGGAGAGGAGCATATTAAAATAGGACCCAGATGGGCAGAGGCTCACTTTCTGAATACACTTTTTCTTTTTTGTTTGCTGTAGTGGTCAGTACAGACTACAGAGAGAGGGAGAAAACAGAGTAATTGTGCTCTGTTTTTTTCAGTTAATCTCTGGAAGAATGACAGTAGAGTAGAGAGTGGGAGTTAAGGGGGGAGTTTTGAATTAAGGGAAGGTTGCGACATTGTTGTGATCTTCCAAATTGATCAGTCTGCTATATTCTCTGGGACTTATGGAGAAGGTGAGGAAAGAAAGGGAATCACACATCATCGTCATCTTTGCTTTGTTTTCTTTTCAATACTGGTAAATAGTTCTGAGAGAGCTACCATTTTGATTTTGTTTTTTCATTTCCCCTTTCTGCTTTCAATTTTTGGGGTTGAACTTCAGAAAGCATTCCCAATTTTGTCAGGAAACCGAAAAAGGAGTCAAACTTGGGTTGTGGGTTGCTGTATAGAATTCTATTCCTGTCTCTCTTCGCAGTTTCAGTTGTGTAAGGAAATCTCTTGAGTTTTCACCAAAAGTAAGAAAGGAGAAATCTCTTGAGGTTCAAGACATCCCGAGACTTGGAGTTGATCGGGTAAAATACAAATAATTAAATTTAAGAATTGGAATAAACATACCACTTAAATTTAAATAGGCAATCGAGTACTGTTATTTTTTTTTTTTGACGGAAACCTGTTGTAAATTCCATTAATCTGCGTTTGGCGTTACATTATCACAATGCAGCTGATTAACCAGAAACCCAGGGGGGCTATCTACCCAGACATTCGTCCCATTCGAACTATTCCAATGCTGCGCCATAACATGAGCTGCTTCATTTGCTGTTCGTCGAATATGTCGCCACGAACCTCCACCCATCTCCTGTAGCAATCTCCGAACGTTGCGGCACACCATTCCTATTTCTGTATGTACATCCTGCGCATCCTGTATCTTTTGGATTAGTAGTAAGCAATCTGACTCCAAAATCGGGTTAGCTACCTGAAATTGCTTTGCTAGCTGAAGCCCGAGCTCTGCCGCCAACGCTTCTCCCATCTCAACGTCTTGACATCCTTCTACCAACTTTGATGCGGCGAGAAGGAAGCTCCCACCCTGGCCTCGAATGACAACTCCTAAGGTTGCACCTTCTGTGTTTGTAAAGCCCACATCTGTGTTTACTTTGTAGCTTCCCTCTCCTGGTTCCTTCCACCCTTCGTCTCTCGTTTGTGCTGGTTCATGTATCTGGGTTCTCTGATGCTTCTTATCTTCCTCTAAGTAACTTTGAGCTCGTCCTACAATCTCGTCTTCTTCCATCTTCTTGCCATTAAATAATTGAGCGTTCCTTTCCCGCCACAAGAACCACATCAGCACACACCATCCCTCAAGCTTCACATCATCCCCTTTAGCCACTACCTTCGCCAGCCAATGGTAGCTGTCCTGTGCCGGCTGGAAGTCAAAATAATCCGTCACAGCAGACTGTCTCCAAATACGGCTCGTCCATGGGCACTCACCAAACAAGTGGAGCTGCGTCTCGCGCAGGTCGCAAAACGGGCATCTATCTCCCCGTCGTTTACTTTTGACACTGATATGATCCCCTGTAGGAAGGATGTCCCGTGCGAACTTCCATATAAAATGCTTAATTTTCGGCGCAACCTCCATGGCCCAAAGCTTTTTCCATATCTTTTCTTCTCCTACCAGTCCGAGGGCATCGAGTACTGTTAAAGTCTCCAAAAGAGGCAGCCATCTAGTTTTCCATCCAATCCAAAAAATTCAATTACCTTTTAGCATCCAAAACTTTTCAAAACATCCAAAACTATATTTCAACAAATACTATTTAATATAAAATTAGAAAACCTTCTAAACATATTATTATTATTAGAATGGCTAATGGAAATTTTTCAATAAAATAGATAAATTGGTAAAAAAAAAAAAATAAACGAATGTCTAGAAGGAATAATAAATATACTAGAAGTTAATAATTATAATAATACTTAAAATCAATATTAGAAGATCTATTTAAACCCATAATCCAATTAGAAGCCCTAGTTATAATGGTATTTGATTCAATTAAAAAATGGGTTTGTTCTTCAAAAGAGGATTCATGCTGAACAATAAAAAATTATGTTTTATAAGTCCAAAGGATTTTTTACAATAAGAAAAGTAGAATGATCAATTCTGAAATTTAAAAAATGGAATGTTCCAAGAATATTCTGCCAACTTTAACGAAATGCACTTAATAATAAACTTAAGTGGTACCGGGTGCACATATAATGGAGTTTAGTGGCACGCGATGCCCTATTCTTACTTAAGTGGTATTGTTCCCCCAATTCTCATACGTTAGTGGTACCCGAGATATTTTACCCGAGTTTATCAAACTTGGTCCATAGTTGGTTAGGTTGTTGTAAATCTTTGGACTAAATTGTAATAGGATAAAAGTTTGGGACAAAAGAGTTAGGATGCCATAGATTGATTAGTTGAAGTTCGAGTTTAATTGGATAATTTATCAAAACGGGTTGTAGAAACAAATTGTTACAGTGCGTATAACCACATACCATAATAATAGCAAATACAATTTTCTCTTTTCTCTCTCTTTCGTAACAATTACCTTATTTCTCTCATCTTTTCTCTCTTTTCTAACCTCTCCCTGACAACACTTCTCTACTTTTCTCCCTTTCGCTAAGCACCATTGCCACTTTAGAGATCCAATCAAATAGGACGGGGCATTGCAACTTAGTATCAGAGCTGCCAATCGACATAATGGCGAGGATGCAGATGGAGGAGAAGCTTCTTTTTTTCCCTTTAATCTCGCAACGGTTGTGGAAGCGCAACTCCAGGCTATCGGTGATCACATGACCACCATGGATGACCAAATGACGGAAAATGATGGAATGATTTCGTGTTCACGTGTACCAAATTAGGTCAATCGCGCCCAACGGTTGTGGTTGTCGGTGCAAAGGGTCCGCTGGTAGGTAGAAACGACGACTGAGGGATTCTTCCACCGAATTCACCGAGGATTGGAGTAAGACGTGTTCTTGCAATCATGAGGTCTGATTCCGATGAACAGAAATGTGATGAATTGGAAAATTATTCCTTCCTCGTGGTAATAAAAATCAGTTCGAACCATATTTTTAGATTTTTCTTACTTTAATGGTGATAATCCTAGAGAGTAGACTAGGAAGTGCAAGAAATTGTTTGAGATTTACAATATCCCTAATGACCAAAGAGTACATTTAGCGGCAATCTACTAAGAGTGAAGCCTTGAAATATGGTTTAAGGGCGGGAAAATAGGTCGCCTTGAATTGAATTGGGAGGATTTTGTGCCTGCTTTGTGTAGGATGTTTGGGGACTAGGCCTTCAGAGGTATAGTTGGCGAATTCAATAAACTCAAGACAACATGGTTCCCTGGTAGGACATCAAGAGAATTTTAAGGAAGTAAGGTCTCAAACAGTGAGATATAAGGAGTAATTCATTTCAAGCTATGTTAGCGGTTTAGAAGAGAAGCTTAGACTAGTGGTAACTATGTGGCAAGCTCAATTATTGGCTCATGCTTTCCAGTTATCTAAGCTGGAAGAAGTCTCTAATGAAGCAAGGAGAAGAAAACTAAGGGGTTTAGTAACTCGACCAAATGTTAGTCCAGTTGCAGGAGCCTCATCCTCCACCCTTAGGAAGTTGGGAAAATCCTAGGCTCAACTTGCTAAGCATACACTGCCTGCTAATGGCTAAAAAGGTAATATGGTGAAAGGAGCGTGTTACAAGTGTGGGATAGGTATTTTTAAGGCCGTGTGTTTGATACTAAGCAAAAACTGAATTTTACAAGCTAGAGATGATGTTGTAGATTTTGAGTCATAGGGTGATGGTGAAGACAGTGTGACTGTAGAAGATGCTACTGATGTTCAGGTTGAACCAGTCAAGGTAACAATGCAAGCTCACGGTAGTTGAGCAGCTGTCAATTCACTGATAATTAAAGGGAAGGTGAAGAAGGCTACCTTGAAGGTTCTGGTTGATACATGTTGTACTCACACATTCTTGAATGAGCAGAAAGTAATAGTGGTAGAGTGTGAACTGATAGAAGCTACACCATTGAGAGTCAATTTGGCTAATGGGACCATTCTACTGAGCAATCTTGTTTGCAAGGATTTCAGATGGACCATGCAAGGACATATGTTCACATATGAAGTGAGAATTTTGTAGTTGACATCTAATGACCGAGTTTTGGGGTTGGTCTGGTTAAGGATTATTAGTCCAGTGAAGTTTGAGTTCGTGAACTTTCATCTTTTCTTTGATAAGGATAGGCAGGATGTGGAATTGAAAGGCATCCAGGAGGTGGGAAGTTGTAAGTCCATGTTCGGCAAGAGGTTACAGAAGTATCTAAAACATAAGGTATAATTCTGGGCAGGAAAGCACTTCAACCTGACTTTAACACTGGCCCCAAGTAAAACTCCTTTTGTGCAACCTATACTTCCCGAGTATAAGGATGTGTTTGGCAAAAACACCCCCTTGTTCTTGTGACTATATCATTCCTTTAAAACCTAATCATGTCCCAATAAACCTCAGACTGTAGACACTTGCTACCACAAAAAAATTTGAAGTGGAGAAACTAGTAGATGAAATGTTAGCTTTCGACTTCATTCAACCTACTCAAAGCCCCTGTGCATCCCAGTGGCGTAGTCAAGATTTAATTTAAGGAGGTGTCATTAAAAAATTACATATGTGGTCTCATGTTTCATATTGTGAAATTTTTCTATAATTATATGAATCTCCCAAACTATTAAGATTTCACACTTAATGTATCCCACCAAATAATTAACCATTCACAATTTCAGTTCACTAGATGCGAATGCTGATCATTCGTTGCATTGCATAAAATGTTATTAACTTGTGCATTAACAAATGACAGTAGCAAATCAAATCTATTTTCACAAGCAAATCCATTGATCATAACTAATTTTCTCTTCTGGCTATCATCATAAAAAAAAAATTAATGATTTCCTCTAATAATATGCACCTCTTCCTTATCAAAATAATATGCATCTCTTATCCATCTTGATAAACCAGAATGTTTTAATGTAAAAATTAGTAGATGAAATTAATTTATATAGTCTGTTTTGGTTTAATGATAGAAAATTTGATGATTGACATTGAAGTTTAAGATTTAATACCATTAATAACTAACTAATACTATTAATATTATGAACTTTTTTCCACATCTAAGAGGGTGCCATGGAACCCCCTTTTATGCTCTACCCCCGCCCCTGTTGCATCCCCAGTCCTGCTAGTCCTTAAAAAAGATGGTACATGTTGCTTTTATATAGAATACATGTAGCTTAACTCCCTTACCATAAAAGAAAAATTTTATATCGGTTATTGATGACATGCTAGATGTACTAGAGGTACCAAATTCTTCACCGAACTGGACTTACTCTCTGGTTACCACCAAGTTAGAATGCATCCTGTAGATCATTATACAACTTCTTTTAGAACTCTCCATGGCCACTTTGAATGTATAGTCATACCCTTTGGTTTAACCAATTCTTCAGCCACCTTCCAAGCTATCATGATAAAATCTTTGCCACTTACCAGAGAAAGTTTATTCTGGTCTTCTTTGATGATATATTGGTTTATAGCTCTGACCAAACACTCACTATAAAACACCTCACCTTAACCTTGTAAATCCTCATACAAAACACATTGTATGTCGAACCACCTTAATGCTCATTTGCGCAGAAGGAAGTGGATTGTCTGTGACATGTTGCCAATGAACATGACGTTTCTACCGATCCTAGTAAGAAAGAGGCCATTGTGTCTTCGCATGTGCCTAGAAATGTGAAAGAGTTAGCGTAGTTTTTTGGGATTAGGTGGTTACTATAGAAAATTTCCGAGTAACTATGGAGCCATTAGCGTATCTTTGACTGATTTCTCAATTTTTTTTGTTTTTTTTGTGGTCTCCTACTGCTTAGAGAACATTTGAACTACTAAAGTATAATATGGTGCAAGCACCTATTCCAACTCTACCTAATTTCAATATACCCTTCCAACTTGAAACAAATACCAGTGAT